CACGGAACGCTGTTACCTTCCCACCAAAGGTGATCCCTGTTTTTCTACTTGTAGTTTTACGTGCTTTTGAACTTCGAGGTTGGCAGAAGCTGGGGCAAGTAAGCTCACTCCGTTGTGCGGTGCTAGGGATTCGAACCGCCAAACTGCCAACCTTTCTGATTGACAAGCTCAGCATCTTAGCCACTGAGCCACCAAGTCTCTTTTTGACGTAGAATAGCTCGCGTAAATAAAACCCCCAGGGGACTGGCTTTCTGTTGGTTAAATAGTAGTAATAATTCCTGATGTGCCTTGAAATTCATTGTCATTCTCTTTCAATTCCACTTAGTACTATAGGAAAGCAGGTTGTTTATTGCGAAGTAATATACTATCATCATGAATATCAAGTTTTCTGTCCCTGAAAGGCACTAGTAGTTTTCCACGATGGGAGCAAGAACCTTGTATGACTGTATTGAAGCTATTTCAGTGTAATGACTTCTGGGTGAACAATTTCTCCTTTATGGCTTTTGAGTCACAAGGCATCTGATGTAGTAAGGATGTTTCTGTTTTTGACTCTCTGTCCCACCCACTCCATCAAATCTGGTATCCAGCTGACGTACCATGGGGTTGATTAAACAGAAATGTTGTTTTTTAGGATCTTCTTTTCCTAGTTTCTATGTAAATAACCTTAGCGAGAGCTTCTGCAGTAATCCTTTAGTTGGAAGAACAGGTGGCACAGAACAAAATATTTACCATTAATCTTACTTGTTTGGTTTTTTTTATTTTCTCCGTAGGCGTTTAAATACTTTAAACAAGTGTGCAATGATGAAACTAGAAATCAGCCCACACAGGAAACGGGTAAGTATATTTGACAAAACGATTGCAATATTGTACGGAGTTGATGGGAGTGATCCTGAAAATGCTCTTGTAAGCCACCTCTGTGTGCGTTGACATAGAACAGGGGTGTCAAACTCAAGGCCCATGGGCCGGATCCAGTCCACGGGGTGCTTAGATCTGGGCCACCCTAGAAACAGCAAAGGACCGGCCCGTGGTGCCTCTGCCAGAGAAAACGGGGCCCACACAGCCTCCCCCCACACACACAGAGAGAGCTCTGTTTTCACTGGCATAGGGCTAGCAAAACATAAGGAAAAATATTTCCCCTTTGGCACTTGAGCACGCGAGAAAGAACAGAAGGAGAAAGGGAAAGAGGAAAGAAAAAGAGGGGAAGAGGGCAAGGAAGGAAAAATAAGGAAGAGGGGGAAGGAAGAGGGAAGGAAAAAGAAAAGGAAGGAGGGGGATTATAATGAGAGTGAAGGGGGGGGGGTCTGAGTGAAGTCCTGCCTTGGCATTTGGCCACCACAGATGCCCCCAACACAAGTGACATTGAACTGGCCACACCCACCCTGGCCATACCTGCCGTGCAGGTCAAATGCAACCCTGATGGGGCCGTCAGTGAGATCGACAGAGTTTGACAACCCTGACATAAGAAGCACAATTGGTCTCTGTTTAGAGGAAGCACCACTCGGACAATTAGATTTCCTTTAGTTAGTTAGTTAGTTAGTTCACTTTATTTGTATGCCGCCCTTTTCCCTGGGGGGACTCAGGGCGGCTCACAGTTCAAAAGGGGTGGGGGAAGGACGAACAATTTACAACATAAAAACACTACATCATTTAAGAACTCAACAGTCATACAATTCGAGTAGGGGTTAGAAGTCGAGAACTATTTGTACATCTAATATTTAAAAGATTATTTTTGATTCTGGAGTTTCTCTAGAATACTAATACTAATATCCTCTCTCTATTAATCTTGTATTTACATCATATAAAAATGTAACATCTTTCAACATAATGGAAAAATCCACTCAAATGCTAATTTTTCTCTGCCCTATAACTAGGTGTAATAGATTGTAAATAGTTCAATAACGTATCTATTCTTTGTTTTTAAATATTTTAATGACTGCAAGTGGCCCAGATCTGCTGAGAGTTGAGCAGTATATAAATGCAATAAATTATTATTATTAATAGTCATTCTGCTAAGCTTCAGGAAAAAAAAGAGTTCTGATTTGCAACAAAATG